CATTTACATATTTCACCACGTTCTTCTTACAGAGTCACTTTCTCAGTTCGAAACTTAAAAGCAATGTCATTATTTAGCGTCGACAGAATTTCTAACTGTGATATAGATATGTCGTTGTCACAGACATAACTCAATGTCTGTTTTATTGGCAGGTGTCTGCCTGCCCGTCTTAATGACATATTCACACAATTTCAATCACTGACCACATGCATCTATTGAACTTAACACCTATCTGGCTAAACATCATAAAAACAAAACGCATGATTTATGGCCCGAGATCGATCTCTGTCATGATTCTGTAATTACACAGATGATGCAGATGTGATATGTTGTACACATGACATGTTATGATGTCTGTTGATTGCAAAATGTTAAGACAAAAATGAGCATACATGCACAAAACCCAACCAGGCTATATATATACACACAATGAGCCGTGAGGGCTTCTGCAAACGAACCACGTTACACTTGAGTTCACACCCACCCGCTCTGACTGGGTTGGTATCCCGGCTGCTTCTGGACTTCGGAAGTTAACCGAAGACGAATATTGCACTTTTTGATTTGCGATTATATACGCGCATAATTTTGTTTTTATGATTTTCATAACCAGCAATGTATATTATGATGTCATGAATAAGTGATAATTGTGTTTTAATTATGTTTGATTTTTTGTTGCATGTTACCTTTTAAACATTTCACATGCAAAGTAGAGTGAGTGAGTGACACATAAAAGTAGAAAGGGTGGTCACTGAATCTGGACATCGTCACAACGATGATGATGATGATGATGATGATGATGATGATGATGATGATGATGATGATGATTGAACAAAAGATCACAATAGTGGTGGTGGGTGGTGATGGTGGTGATTAAACAAAAGATCACAATAGGGCTGATCCACAGCAACCCATGCTTGCCACAAAAGGCGACTATGCTTGTCGTAAGAGGCGACTAACGGGATCGGGTGGTCAGGCTCGCTGACTTGGTTGACACGTCATTGGTTCCCAATTGCGCAGATCGATGCTCATCATGCTGTTGATCACTGGATTGTCTGGTCCAGATTCGATTATTTACAGACCGCCGCCATATAGCTGGAATATTGCTGAGTGCGGCGTAAAACTAAACTCACTCACTCACTCAAATCCATGAAGAGCGGATTTTGGAAGCTTAGCCGTTCCTACGTTTTTTTATTGAAAAAGTGGAGATGCTAAATAAACTCTATTTATAATGGCTCGTTGATGATATGGGTACATATGATAAGTACAATTGCATGTTGTTGGTACATGTATTGAAAAGGTGGACCGGGTGGTGTTTAGCGTAATCCGGTATGCCAAAGTCGGATTAATGTTTGAAACATTGGCGTTTTTGTCATTGAAAAGATTTCAAATTTCGCCATACTTAACCATAATTATCAAGGCAGTTATTGGTTGTTTCGTTTGCCGTCTATTTCTACGATATCCTATCTGTCACGTGTTTCTCTGGACCTGATGTAAGATTCGATACGTACCAACAACAGGTATTTAGTTGTGTAGTTATGTAGAAGGTATTGCTGACTGCGGCCGACTTCAATATTCATCTCGTGTTCACGAAGCGTCCTTTTGCTTTCAGTAAATGCTACCGGGTTTGGCACAGAATGATTGCCTCGGTCATTTATCAAACAAGCTGTTTATCACTAATAGAAGACACCTACTGCCTGTGCTGAATATACATCTGTTAAGTTCCATTTACGTACTGCATATCTGAGGACAACCAAATCACTTTTGAGCAGATAGTCACCATGTGATAACACGAACAGTCATCTGTCTTCCTTACCACATTGATCAGTGAGCTAAAATGGCTTTACGCCGCTTTTACAAATATTCCAGCTATATCAAAGTCGGGAATATTAGAAAGGGTTTCACTCTTTGTACCGATATGGGGAATCGAACTCGGGTCTTCAGCGTGACGGGCGAAGGTTTTAACCATTAGGCTACCCCACTGATGTTATAACGTGAAAGCCAGTTTTATTTGGTTCGTCGTTTACACACCGAACATCTCAACATTACAAAATGATGACGGTTTGTATAACGGACCAGTGATCAATATACAGAGCATCGTTCAATGGTCTCAAGTCTCGGGCCTATCCACAGGTATGATGTGACGATGGCCCTCGTAGTAAGAGTGAGTGAGTATGGTTTTACGCCGCTTTTAGCAATATTCCAGCAATATCACGGCCGGGTAGCATCAGAAATGGGCTTCACACATTGTACCTATGTAGGGAATCGAGACCCGGGTTCGATTCCCACATGGGTACAATGTGAAGCCCATTTCTTCTCTCCCTGCCGTGATATTGCTGAATATTGCTAAATGCGACGTATCCAAACCATACTCACTCACTCACTGTGATGCCCGTATCAAAGGTATCTCCATCGAGTACTGTTTCTTTGTTGTTTTTCATATTTTCATCGTTGGTGTATGTTTTCTTCTACCGGGCAGTTAAGTACAGATCGCAGCTTTGTATAATTAAGGCCAAATAGTTTCCTGGATGGGATGGGATTGACCTTTACGGAACAAAAGTAATCCAGCACAGTGCCCCAATGACTGAGTGATTTGTTTTAACGCCTCTTTGACACGTATTATTTTATCACAGTATTATTTTATCACAGTACTATTCTATCACAGTATCATTTTATCACAGTACTATCACAGCATTATTCTATCACGGTATTATTCTATCACAGTATCATTCTATCACAGAATTATTTTGTTACAGTATTATTTCATTAGAGATTATTATTCTACCACAGTATTATTTTATTGCAGTATTATTTCATTACATTATTATTCTACCACAGTATTATTTTATCACAGTATTATGTTATTACAGTATTATTTCTATTACGTTATTAATCTACCACAATATTATTCTATCACAGTATTATTCTACCACAGTGCATTATTGTATTACAGTATTATTTCATTACATTATTCTACCACAGTATTATTCTACCACAGTATTATTCTATCACAGTATTATTATACCACAGTATTATTCTGTCACAGTATTATTCTATCACAGTATTATTATAATACCTGGATAAATCCTTATAGCTTCCTGTCACTTCTAAGGGAAACAACTCAGCACATAGAATTGCTGGACCTTAAGCTAACTCGGCAACCGTATCCCTCACAGGCCTACGGAGCAACACCACACAGCCATGTACATACTGTTTCCCAATGTCAATTAGGCGTGAAATAGGCAGGTATGCGGAATATGCTATGGCATATATCATTACCACTGGCCACATACATCCAATACCATCACACCTCTTTGAAGTTCTAATACCACAACAAAACGGTTTATTACCAAACCATGCGTCTGAAGAACCACAATACCTTCCAACAGTAGTCACATGGCAACGAGTATTCACCAGTGAGAACGATTTCCCAATAACGTGTACGTTTATGCCTCTGTTGAAATAATAACGAGAAAATGAACACATTGTACGTTTTTATTACTGCCCTTGCCGTGAACCGGTTTCGGCGCTCATAAATATTCCCCGGCCCTTTAAAGGTATGTTTTCTTCTGCCAACGCGTCAAGTTATTCGTTTTGTGGACGGAAGGGAGTTTATAACAGCGAAATGCTGTTAACTGCCAAAACCAGACAATATCCGACCCCTTGGACAGTGATCGATCGCAGTTGATTTCAATATCACTCAGAGAACTATGGGCATGTATTCCATTCCATCCGAAGAGCGGCTCTGCATATGGAAATTGGAAGCAATTATAGCACTAATGTATACAATTACCATTCAACCTGCTACGGATGATTGAAGCTCACTCGTGTGTTAAACATGGATTTTATTACCAGTTTTCTGGGCTTCCCGGGAAATATGTCGATGGCATATTGTTAAAATAGCAGGCATGTAACTTGTGTGTGCGATATATGTGTATATGAGAGATGTGCAACCGTTTGTATTCTACAACCAGTTGCTTGATATATACATTGTCCATTGCTCTCGTTAACATGCTTGTTCAGTACGCTGCATTCCTTCCACTAGGATGAAGGTAGCTATTTCAAACGAAAACGTTTACATTCCCTTGTTAAATGACCGATAAAAATAGTTTATTACAACTATAAGGAATAGTGTATCTGTTTCCTTTCTTGATAAAAGATTTCTCTAATACACAAAATGTAATTATATATCTTTATTACTAGAAGGAATTGCAATTGTGTACATATTTCCTTTCCTGATAAAGGGTTTGTCTAAACACAAGAAATGTAAGTTTATACCTTACGTTTAGTCTTAGTAATCAAGTAATAACAAATATCATACAATGACAATACTACAATGTCAATAAAAGCAGTAGAAAATCAGTAATGTGTGCAATATTTCACAGGTTTGTTTCCAAACTGTTTACAAACTCCAGTATTCAATATCTGTGACAGAAAGATAACCATCGTCGTATATGGCAGATGGTAAACAGAAAACACTATTGTGAATAAGCAATGGAACGAATTGTTACATTTCAACATTTTAGCTGAATAATATGTTCACTAAAACAGAAACAAAACAAGACAGTAGGCAGATTTAGCACATATATAAGCAGGCATACACAGACTTGATTTGCTTGTTTGTTTGTTTTTTTGATATTTCGGGTACTCAGCTGTAAACAGTACAAAGGGAAAACAAGCAAACAAGACACAACGATTGTTAGTTGTCCACATTTCTTATGGAGAAAGTGCAGTTGAAATCCTATCTCTCTAGGGTGTAAAGAACGAAACTATTTGTGTTGACATATTACGGATGATAGTATTAAAAGCAGTACTAGTTGTCCTTGGTAAATGCGCATGACTCGATTCCTCAAAAATCGTCAGGACCCGTGAAGATCCGGGGTCTTCAGGAACCCATGCTTGCCATAAAAGGCGACTATGCTTGTCGTAAGAGGCTCGCTGACTTGGTTGACACATGTCATCGGTTCCCAATTGCGCAGATCAATGCTCATGCTGTTGATCACTGGATTGTCTGGTCCAGACTCGATTATTTACAGACCGCCGCCATATAGCTGGAATATTGCTGAGTGTGGCGTAAAACTAAACTCACTCACTCAAAGTCGTCAGAACTCGCTGTGCCGACAGGCAGTAATGGTCTAGGCGTTCGAGCGATTATGAGCATCACGTCGGGTTTCCGGACTCCTAAAGCTGTACTGTTAAAAGCGTCATCTTACGTAACTTAAACTACAAGGGAAACTTATGTACATTGTTCTTGGAAGTGTTTTATTAGCATAACTGAATAACTACCCTTGGGCAATTATTTCTTTTTAAAAACAATAAAAATGTACTCAGTTTGATCATGCCTAAGACATTACACGCGTATTAAAAATGAATGCCCTCGTGGTGTAAGCCGTTTAATCACCCTCGCTACGGTAGTTATTCAAATAAACTCTGCTCGGGCTAAAACATGTGGGGACTGACGGTATCGAGTGGTCAGGCTCGCTGACGTAGATGGATGTTCGTGATGTTGATCATTGGATTGTATGGTCCAAACTCGAGTATTTATAGACCGCGGCCATAAAAACAACAACAATAAAAACAACACGTTGTCGTGCTCAACAATATCATTTAAGTACTGTGTATGTTTGACATTTTACGAGTGCTTCTTTCATTTCGCGTTTCTGTCGGATCAGTCCCTTCATTGTTGGACAGTCGTTCGTATACTGCGACAGACATACACAACGGGTCGGGCCTTTTAAGTAGGGGCAGTAAAATTAGAAGGGTCGGTCGAGCGATGAGACACACAGAAAATGCTACAAAAATGCTGCCCTTACCCGACAAAACCTAAAATAGATGCTCATGTAAGCGTACATTGAAACAAACAACCCAGAATTGTAATGTTCAATGATGCGTACTACGTAGACGAGGGAGATTATTATTTAAAGTCACATCGGCATTATTCAGCCACCACACTGTGCCAGCGATACAATCATCTGTTATCTACTTATACGAAGGAACCTGTTGATAAAGGTCAGTAAAATAGCTACTCGCTGTCACATATTCAGTTTTTAAAGTAGAAATAAATAAGTAAAAATTAAAGACTACTATATAACCACGTAAAATACGAATAGGGTTATGATATTGCTCACCAGCAAGTCAAACCACCATGCTAAGGTGCTCAGGACCATTGTGATGAACAGTGTCTCTGTTACCTGCATAGTGTATATGTTTAGAAAGCACAGCGGTAACCTTTGCACAACATAGATTAAAGGAAGTATGAAAAACTACTCTGTATAGTTCATGTTCTTAATACTAGGGCGGCGGGGTAGCCTAATGGTCAAGGCGTTCGCTCGTAACGCTGAAGACCCGTGTTTGATTCCCCACATGGGTAAAGTGTGTGAAGCCTAGTGCTGGTGTCCCCGGCGGTGATTCTGCTGAAATATTGCTAAGGCGGTGTAAAACTAAACTCACTCACTCACGTAATACTGAACACTGTGTGAATATATTTTGTTAATGTTAAACCAGCAGATCTACCGGGGTGCTCCCATTGTCAGACATACATCGTGTTGGCGTAAGTTTTATGGTTTCCCCAGCAGTAATATATCAGTGGTAATTTCTCATTTTCAACAGGTGTTTAAGTCGTTTAAAAAAGGATTAATATTTGACAAGAACCGAACAGCATGGCTATTACCGAGATTATATGACAAAAAATACTTACGCTTGAAAGAAATCTCATTTACATGTATAAAACACGAAGTGTAGAGAATAACCAGTCGGTATCAAAGGAAACATATTTCAGTGAGCGGAAAGGCAACATATTTAGGAATACTGCATGAATACACTGAAAATCAGTGACGACACCTGGTGTTCGGGAAAAGGATAAGCAGATCCTGCTAAACCGCCTGTACTGGCCAGTCACAATTTGCAGAAATCCACCTATCGCAGTAAGTAAAGCATAGTCCACCGACTATGATCTTGTGTATTTGAGCACTATCAAACAGTGATGATACCAGGTGTTTGCTTGGTCAAGAAAAGTATAAAAATGATCTTCGGATGTACATTGAATGAAGGAGATGATTCTGGGACATGGCAGTGTCCGTGACGTCCATATGAAACAACGCCGTTGTCAGTTCGTCGTTGTGGTTGCAACGACGTGTGTCATCACGTCTTCTCACTGAATTCTGCAATAACGGCCAGAAAGGAACCTGCATCACTCTGTTTGTCCTTCTCCTTAGTCTCGGGCCTTAGGCGAAACAAAATCTACATCAACATTTTGACATATTTTACTTTTAGCTTTTTGACAGTTTTACCTCTAGGTAAAACAAACTATAAATCAATATTTTGACATATTTCACTTTCAGGTAAAACAAAATATTGATCAATATTTTGGCATATGTCACTTTTAGTCAAAACAAAATATAAAACACCATTTTGACATATTTTACGTTTAGATAAACAAAACATAAATCAGCCTTTTGACATATTGGTTTTTAAAAAAAAATAAGAACTGCAGCTACGTTGTTTCGACTTAAATCTGGTCGAATGTATTCAACTAACTATACAAGAACATACATATCTCGTACCACTTTCTTGTACGGGTTATAATCCAGTTCTTCGTGTCGTTTTGCTCCAGTTGTTTCAGCGCTTTTAACAAGACACGAAGACCCTCGTGCCGATGCTGTGCCTTCTGTCGTACTTTACAGAGCACCTGCAAACACAAGCCGTATCGTGCATCAACCAGTCAAAACAATAAAAGTTTATGTACTTAATAAAATCCTTATAAGCCAAGGCCATTATAATTACATGTAGTTGTATAAAGACTTTGTATGCAGACAATACAACTGTGCTAAATAATTATTGATATCATCTACGAAAACAAAATGCCAAACATTGACGATATCCCTGGATATCAAACCGTTTGCGAGCCCGAAACAAATTTTAAGCTGTAACACACCTCTGTATGTCCTGGGCGGTTTGGTAGCCTAGTGGTTACAGCGTTCGCTCGTCACGCTGAAGACCCGGGTTCAATTCCCCACATGCGTACAATGTTTGAAGCCCATTTCTGGTCTCCCCCGCTGTGATACTACTGGAATATTGCTAAAAGCGGCGTAAAACTAAACTCATTCACTTCTGTGTTTTCTAACACGCAGTGTTGTTTTGGCATATTACGAAAACTTACTGTAAACAGTTGGAACTGTTGGCCGAAAGGATGCCGTTCCGACAATTCACAATGTTCTTGTGTCGTAAGGCCACATTCAATGCCGAGTGACTTGATATCAACGGCAAAATATTGGAGTATGTCGACCAGAAACACGTCTGACATTGGTCTCGATGCCTCTGTACATATATATGCAAACATTGTGAGAATGGGTTCAAATTGGTTTCACACAGCATTACAATATACCGGAACGGTCAAAGTAATTCCATCAATTTCATTATTTTCATGGAGTGATGTTTCGGTGTAGATTCTATCACCATGATCAAGCTAAAAGTGACTACAACCAGGTGATAAGAAGAATTAAGGTTGTTCCAACAGCCACATGACCTCTATCATGAGCTTCATCACCTACACCATGCCTTCACCAACCTCAGCCAGTATCCCACTGAGAGGACCATCTCGGCCACACACCAGCCCAAACCCAAAGTGACCTAGTCTGAATCCACCACCATCAGAAACCAGAAGTGAAACTTCCCGTCCCGTAGATACCCGCATTGTTGAGCGTGACATCTCAACACCCAAGGAAGACAGCAAATCACACCTCTCAGATCACAAAGAAAAGTTCCCCAGCAAATATTTGAAAGCCATCGAAATCCGCCACCACAAACCTTTGATCAACAGAGACCAAGGCTATTAAATACCATCGGCCTACGAAGAGCTGATCAAGCTATAGACTTTATCTATTAGCATCCTATCAGCTTGTCAAAAACGTGTTCTGGCTCCGTTGACCGCCTCCGTGGTGTAGTGGTTAGAGCGTCCGCCCGGAGAGCGGAAGGTCGCGGGTTCAATCCCAGACAGCGTTATACCAAAAGACGTTAAAATATGGTACTTGTTGGTCCCTGCCTGGCGCTCGGCATTAATGGGTACAACAAGGACTGGTCGGCTCGGGGTCAGTATAATGTGTCTGAGTGGGGTATTCATGCTTCACTGCGGCGTGTTATCCCAGCGAGCTAGCACTATAAAACCAACTTAAATCTGGGCTAGTACAAGCAGCCGCACATACACATACAGACGCATGCACGTCGTCATATGAGCGAAATATTCTCAAGCACGACATTAAACCAAATTTCACCTCACCTTACCTCCGTTGCTTGCACCTATATTTTTAAATGTGATGTTTGTCACAACATACTATGTACTTGTACATCTACTTACCTGGTTGTGGTCATTTTAACTTGATAACGGTGTAAGAATCTACAATGGAACGTCGCTTTATGAAATAGACAAGAACATGTTATCCATAGTTCGTCGTATGCTTCATTATAAAATTCATCAATATTCTTTGCATCTGCGTCTGTACACAAGTCACCATTTGCACGTATCTACATGAATCTTAAGCATTACACATCTTTCTGGTTGATAAAAAAGTACAAGGAACCTTTGGTTACTGATATTGGTCAACCAACTGAACAAACAAACAGCAGATTTACCACATTACTATTTTTGGTAAATAGCAAATAACCTTTATATATGTTGTTCTTCAACTAATTTTCAAATATATTTGAAAATAATTAGCTATCTGGTTTGTTGTTTGGTCATGCCGAAACGGAATGGCAAAAATGCTCTCTTAAATGTTCTTTGACACTTGATCTGTTTGAGTGAGTGAGTTTAATTTTACGCTGCACTCAGCAATATTCCAGCCATATGGCGGCGGTCTGGAAATAATCGAGTCTGGACCAGACAATCCAATGATCAACAGCATGAGCATCGGTCTGCGCAATTGGGAACCGATGTCATGTGTCAACCAAGCCAGCGAGCCTGACCACCCAATCCCGTTAGTCGCCTGTTACGACAAGCATGGGTTGCTGAAGGTACATTCTAACGCGGATCTTCACGGGTCGATCTATTTGTGTAAGTACGGCTAAGGCTAAACATGGCATTACAGTGACCATTTGTAACGTGTTTTTCAGGATAACTGATTTTCATTAGCAATCCAATATCCATACAAGATTTTAAAGTAAGACTGAGTGTGTATGGTGAGAGCGTACATTGCTTGTCAATGCAGTCAGCAATGTTCAACAAAATAACTCAAACTAGAAGTGTATTGGAATATATTTTCGGTACATTACCATTTTCAGTAATTTCTAACTTGAAATTCTGTGTCTTCAACCATTTACCGAAAGTCGTATTTGACCAGTTCTTTTCAAATGCCTCGGAGTTCAAGCTGTGACAGAAATGTGTTCAGTTGGTTTCTGGTTTCCTCGAAAACACGACCCCGTTACTTCCGGAATGCTGTAAATAGCTTACGAGGGATGAAATGAGAAATGAAATGGGATGATAATGATGCTTGGGAAGACCTTGCATGTCTGCTTAATGCCAGGAAGAACTCAATACTCAATCTGTATAATCTGTAACAATCGGATCGGATGATTTGGCAAGTAAAAGAAATTCATAATGTATTTATCACAGTGCTGAAATGGTAAGCATGGTAGTCTACGTTTTTGTCAAGTTGAAATGTAAAATGCGTCACCATTTCTTCAGATGATTCATAACTTGCTGTGCCGCAGACCGACATTCAGCCCGCATCAGGGCTTTGATCAGATCTTGGAGTCCATAGTCGGGTTTCCCAGCGTGACCTATGATCCATTCCTGGAACATCTAGAAGATCCCTCATAACATGACACTGTCGGCGAGTAAGTACCAGTTACAAAATCTCAATATTTATCCATTTATATATATATATATATATATATATATATATATATATATATATATATATATATATATGATGCGATTTCATTAGGAACAATCCACCTCTGATGGATTATTTTCTAAGTTGGGTGTACTAATGTTATTCATGAATATTCATGCTCCAGTGAATTAACACAAAATGAGAACTACAACGTAACTGCCAACAAAGATACGGCTCTTCAGTTTCACGGAGAATGTTTGCTTACATATACTGTAAAAGGACAATGAGATGGCAATGGACAAAATTGATTATTCAAATTTTTTTGTACATCAACACGGTCGTGATGACACTGGTAAATAGTGTCTGGGCACTAGATTAATACCAGGGACTGAAACAAAATGAAATTCTTGTGCAGATTGGAAGCATACAGTACAAAAAAAGAAATGCAAACCTGTTTGCTTCTTCCGAGAGAATTAAACTGTAGATTGGTGACTAAATCCATGAGCTTTTCAACCGGTACACCAGCATATAGCCACACCTTCCACCACGACTCAAACACGTCATTCGATAAAGTGTCCATCAGCGTGTCTCTGATATAATCTGTTAATTGACAATATCATAACCAAGGCGGTTCACTTAAACCAAGGTTAGTTACATAATGCTTACAGGTTAAGCCATTCCAACTCGAATATTTTAACTTTGATTTAGAACATGAATGTCATTTTCCCTTGCAGTACGTTGGTTTATTTCTTGTTATTGACAAACGTTATTACTGACATGATTTCAAACAATTTATTCGTTTATTGTCTGAAGTGGCCGATCAGGGGGATGTATTTTGCAATTTTTTACTCACTCTTAAAGGTCACATGCAACGTAAAACACAACTTTGCAGATTCTGATACCTTTCGGTATGGACTTACCGAAACAAAGCGTCAAAAATGCAAATTCAACTTATAAAGTTGAAAAATAACGCGATGAAAAAAAACGCGCGAAATCGGAGTTCAAACGTTTCACTAATTTTCCCCAGACTTTTCGGGGGAATACGGGTTTCAACAGCTGGCTGCGCTCATAGCACGTGCGCAGTGAAATAGGTTCGCGCAACTTGGAAGCGGGCTGTCTGGTGAATACTCGGTGAAGGCTTTGGTGTGAGCTAGTTTCATAATGTTTTGTTGATATATCACAGGCGCGAGCTTTTGTATGTTATGACAGTAAATAAACTGTTTATATAATTTCATTTGTCTATTTCACCACACGTTCTTCTTACCGAGTCACTTTCTCAGTTCGATACTTAAAAGCAATGTCATTATTTAGAGTTGACACGATTTCTAACTGTGATATAGATATGTCGCTGTCACAGACAAAACTCAATGTCTGCCTGCCTGTCTGCTAATGACAATATTCAATACACAACTGCGATCACTGACCACATGCAATTTGAACTTAACACCAATCAGGCTATACACCATAAACAAAACGCATTGATTTATGGCCCGAGTTCGGTCTCTGTCACATTATGTAATTACACAGACAGGCAGGTGTGATACTTGAACACATGACATGTTATGATGTCTGTTGATTGCAAAATGTTATACACAAAAAATGAGCATGTATTTACAAAACCCAACTTTCTATATATACACACACAATGAGCCGTGAGGCGGCATCTGCTAATGAACCAGCCGTTACACTTGAGTGCACACCCACCCGCTCTGACTGGGTTCGGTATCCCGGCTGCTTCGTTTCGAGGGAGGTAAACCCAAGTACAAAATATTGCACTTTTGATTTGCGATTATACGCTTATAATTTTGTTTATTTGTTTTTTCATAATCAGCAATGCACATTATATGTCATGAAGAAGTGATAATTGTGTTTTAATTATGTTTGATTTTTTTGGTTGCATGTGACCTTTAAGCTACTGGCATATGACTCAGATTAAAGTGATGCACAACATTTTAATTGACTTTATTCATGAGTTAGAATCAACAACCACCAACAATGCTCCAGTTTACTTGCCTTCGATGTTCTCATGGCCATGTCCTTTGGCAGCACTTTCATCAAAATCAGCTTTCTGTACCACCGCCATGCTCTCCTTAGAGGTGACCTTCTGATCCAGTTCAAAAGGAAGATACGTTATTACATTTTTCTTTTTATCCATGATCGCTATAGCTGCGAGGGGGGTGTACTTTTCGTTCATGATTCCAAGATGCAGTGATTGAAAACCAGTCATCCCACGCTTGTAGATGAGCTTTAGTGTTGAAATGTCATACAATGACACTGCATTGCCACGGACACCGATACAATATATACTCGTAGCTTTGCCTTGGAATTCGCCACTGTTTCTGAGACAGGAGTAACCTTTCTTCTGCCAGGTCTGTGATCTTTTCTTGAATTTTTTTCTGTGGCAGCATTCAACAACTACATCATGAACTGACGAATTAAGAAACTTGCCCCATGCAGCAAATATGACTTGATCCTTAACGCCCCTTTTGCGATGTACTTTAGTTTGCTTCTTAACCCTTGATCTTCGTGCGTTCTTTGTGTATTCACCAACTACAACTCTACAAACAAAGACAAAGAATCGTTCATGTAATATAATAACATAATTATTGTTCTGTATCCTTCTTAAGGTACTTCTCCGTTTATCTAGAAAAAATCCTTAAAATGAATTGAATAGGTCAAAGATAAGAAATAAGGCAACATATTCACTTGCAAAATTGAATCAACATATGATGTTTTAACAGAAACGAACGAATAACAAGTGTTGTCATTACTCTGAAAAATGGTTTGTGGAAAAAGTTGCAACATTGCCGTTGACTGATATCACAGTATCAAGGATTGTCCAATATGTTTCATTTTCATCCTCCTCATTTTCTCCTTTACTTTCCTCCTCTCTTTGCTCTTCACTTCCCTTTGGTACAGTTCTGGACAGAACGAGTAACTCCCCTTCCCCAGTATACTTGTCCGGAAGAGGTAGAGTCACGCTGAGGTTGTTCTGTGGTTGATGTCCTGATGTGTGGCTTATGGTATAAAACATGGACAGCGATATTATGCTCTCAAGGTCGTTTCCGTCATATTCCATTTCCACGGCCTTCAGTAAAAGACATGTATTAGTCAGTATGATAGAAAGCGAAAAACATTTCTATAAACCAAGCGAAACTATAACACGACACAACTATGCGATTCTTATCTTATGTATTTATGCATCAATGTCAAATAGCCATGAGGCCGTGTGAGGTAAGACTTTTCTGCCCCATCAGTGGCACTCCTGATCAGCACGTCACGCAAAGTGAAATACGTTGTTTATCTGGGCTGGTTATAACAGGCTATATTTCACAGACATCTCCACATGTCCCCCACAAAACTTTTGGAAGGCTTCAATGATGCCTTCCTTGAATGTTGAAACCCCGGTAAAAAGTTCTTTTGAAGATAAGTGAGTGAGTTTAGTTTTGCGCTGAAATCAGCAATATTCCTGCTATATGGCCGTAGTCTGTAAATAATCGAGTCTGGACCAGACAACCCAGTGATCAACAGCATGAGCATCAATCGTGAACCGATGACATGTGTCAACCAAGTCAGCGAGCCTGACCACCCGATCCCGTTAGTCGCCTCGTATGACAAGCATGGGTTACTGAAGACCAATTCTAACCCGGATCTTTCCGGGTCACTATGACACTCCATGATATCTTAGCAGAAAGAGCTTTATATTTTACCTACATCTAGACAACGAGACTGGACTTCTTGCCTTGTCATATATAGTGTTGGGGAGAGGTTTTTCACTCTAAATATGACACATATGAGGCTGTTTCATTGGTCTCTTTATATTTCTAGTTCAAGGAAGGAGGAAGGAAATATATGGCTATGTGACGATTATTGTTTGTGTGTTTGTTTGTTGCAATACGCAGTACTCTACATATATGATAGACTAACAACTAGTCTCTGAAACGAACATATTTTACTGAAGAAAAAGTTCATAGTAAAAATAAATAAAACATAATGAAAAGGAGCCCTGAGACTTTCTACATTTTCAGAAGCTGTGGAAATCTAGACTTGCCACATTTGCTAGACTTTGCGTGGGCTTTCTTGGATATATTTGCTTCAGGGTCTGTACGAGAGATTACATATATGACTGCGGTATGTATATATTCCATCGAGTCTTGGCCAGACAACGCATGTGATCGAGACCAGGGCCCCGTTTCACAAAGCGATCGTAGCGCTAAGGTGATCGTAACTCCCATACTTTAACATAGACTTACGACAGTCGTAGCTTGACTGTGTGGACTTTACATCTGCAAGGGACTCGCATTATCACGCAACCAATCTGAAAGATCTGTTCTCCAGCGTGAGCGCTCATCTGATACTGAACTACCTGAGGGAAGTTGATCTATATCATAAATTGTAACTGTGTAATGTCACTGTGTAATTTACCTGCTTTTCAATTTAGTGCTATGACATTCTCTCTTCCAAAATGACAATGTAATGAATGTGTGTCTTTGAAACGAAACCACTTTATATTAATGCAGACTTGTTCTCGTCACTATATGGCTGGAATAATGCCGATGTGACGTAAAGCCCAACTCAACTCAACTCAACGTAGCGCTACGATCGCTTTGTGAAACGGGCCCCAGGAGATAGAGTAACTGGCATCATCAGCATCCATGCAAATGGTATACGATGACCTGCATCAACCAGGTCAGCGAGCCCGACCATCAGATCCCGTTAGTCATCTCTCACAGCAAGGTTGGGCTGCTGATCTTCACAGGTCTGACCATTGTTGCATTATATTTGATAATACTTGAACATAGGTATTGAGATTCGTCTTGGACGAATGTTGACCAGCACTTTCGATTCACATAAAGAAACAGATCTGCAAGGTGGGCACAGCTCATGCCTATAAAATTTACCTATTGGGGCTTTAGGTCTGCCTTTTCAAATAACTTTTATAATATTATAATGATGATATAATAGTATAATATTTAAGTAGTAAATTCATACGTATACTACACATGTCCGTGTGAATCATATACGATTTGACTTAATACATTACCTTAAGAATCATGCTTCCTGGGCATTCGAATGCGTTCTTTGGAATGTGTATTTGTACCCTTTCATCCAGTTCGTAAACAACCGTACATCCATCAACTGGTACTTCCGTCAGAGTTTCCTTCGGCCTCGTGCACAACACAAACCATCCCCGAGGACCGACAGTGATCTGAGTTGTTGCTTCCCAGCGTTGCTGAATCAACAGAAATGTTTACAACTGAAGAAGAATTTGCTGGTAGAACAGCCAGGTGTGCGTGTTGCACGTGTGAAAATTGAAATCTCACAACATACGCTTGTTGATTACCTGGCTGTTCTACCAGCATGTGGTCCCTCGTCGGAAAAAATCGCGAAAAGTGACAACAAAGTAATGACCGTTTGTTAAACAACTTTTTTTTATTCGGGTGTCCAAAATTTATTCGGGTGTCTGAGACAAGTCATCAGAGTTGGTCTGTCGATTTCATGTGACTGTGCCAAATTTGCTTTTGAAGCGTTGATTAGATTTTGTGTTAGTGAGCAATTCATCGGTCTCAAACAGACTGTTGTCAAAAATGAAAAAAAGACAATGGAAATATTAAGAGGAATAATATTTATACGAAAGAAATATGTCATAACCTCATTTTAAGAGTTTTAATGTTCCATGGACCAGGGGAAGTGTTGACTCTGTAAAATGTTATCCTTACCCGTTCTTGTATGAATACTGTGTCAACCGGAGCTTCTTCCTGTTTATGTCCAATTGTTGCATATCTTAAAATTAGCTCAGAATACCGACCAGGTCCTTCCTCTAAATGGAACACTATTGCAAAATCAATACTGGGAGTGGATATGCACCATTCAATGAGATCTCCAAAAAATGCTTCATCCATCTTTGCAACAAGTCCGTATGGGTTATCTTCTGGCTCAGAGTACGTTAGTCGTAAGAAGGTCTTCTCAGCACCAACTCGTTTTTGCACACCAAACCTGATGTCCACATTCCTCAGAGATGCCTCTTTGAAATTTGTTGTCTCAATGTACGTTGTGTTCCTGCAATAGACATCTTGTTTGATATTATCACTCGCCGTGAAGGAATACCAATTGGTATCGGCCTTCTCCTTCTTATGAGTGGCTGGTGCTACCAGCAAAACAGGACACGCTGACCCTTTTAGTGAACACCTGGTGTCATCACTGAATGTCAGTCATCCAAATGATATACAGTCGTAGCTGAATATTTTCTGATCTGTCAACTTGACATCCATACTTATTGAGATCTAAAGGTACAAATGGTAAGAGAGGAGATATATAGTTCGGGAGGTCATTGCTCGATGACACTGTAAATGTACATTGTGTGACGTTGCACATATGAACCAGATGCCAATCTGATTGACGTCCAAAGTGAATGAACGTGTAATGTGAAGAGTGAACGATTTGCTTTCTGTGCATATCCCAGCGTGTCAGGTTAATGCTGGTAGAAAATCAGAAATGATGCAGGTTTTAGATGTCCACCTGTATGGTGCTGACATATCTATAAGTATACTATATATTAAAAAACCAAGATCACAGGTTTCGGGCGCACCCAGGGGACACAACTCTCTCTACATCGTAAACTACTGGGCCATCCCACTGGTTAGTGAATTCGAAGAAGATCAAAGACAATTACCAGTTTGCTGAAGCCAATGAGCTTAGGTATATCGTTCAAATGTCATTAACTGGGTGTGGTGATTCAACCTACAATTAAGCATGTGTAAGAATGTCACCACTGAATCAGTTTCCTTGAGGAAGATCAGAAATTATTTAACTGTGTTAAAATACGTGTGTGTGTGTTTGAAAGGTAGTGTTTATAATATATAGTGGCGCTGAGCAGTAGAGCACACATAAAACGCTGCATTTTTCACACGAGGCAAATGATAAGAAACAAAATCATGTGTCGATGAAGTTAGACCAGAGCTTGTCCTCAATGTGATGGGACACATGGCATCCTTGAACCTTTTATGAACCTTTGCTATTTCTACACGCCTATCTTTCAATATTGTCGGATGTCTGCAGTTAACATACCTGTAATCACCTGGTGGGGTGATCAGTCCTTGTCCTTTGAAATCGTTTACAAAAGAAGAGAGCTCTTTTGCAAATGTTTCATCATCTTCATCAGGTGTAGAAACAGCTAACCTGAAAGGTATATAACGCTGCAAATGTGTTCACTGGTGATCATAATATGAAGTTATAAAACAGAGAAATATCTATGATAATGTTTTGTGATGTAAAGTAAAATGTTCATCATTTCTTGTAAGGGGTGTGATGAACTTATATTATTATATAAGAGTATATTATTCTCCTGGTTTAGAGTTGAACTCGAAAACCTGAAGACATGTTACTTCCTTACTATACTGAATACTTATACCAAAGCTGCATATGAAGAAGAGAGGTTTTATGGGTGTCAACTTCTTTATTATTCTTTCTAAATGCCATTCAAAGACCTGCATATGAAATGTTGGACTTCCTAACATGATGACATCTATGTGAAATTTGGGTATAGGACATTTGGGTTGCAGGTTGGTCATTTTCAATCGTACCATATGTTCCGATGATTTTCAGGTAAATAATTGATTTTCCTTCGCATGTGTTTGTGACTAATGCCACATGTGAGGCAGGATAAGCTTACCTCTCCGCGAAAGCCGGGTATGATCTCTATTTGATAATAGTCGTGCTTACATATTGTGCAACTGTAAAATTTACTGATTATGGAAATGGCTTTGTTTTTATGTACTTCAGCTGATATGAAGTGTTATACACTGGTCTGAAAGCCCCAAGAACAGACACGTTATGGTATAGCTGAAATATTATTCGGAATGGGATTATAATTTTACATTTCAGTCATTCATACTTACCAGTGCCTGATGTTCTCAACCAGCAAGAGTTTGACGTTATTCTGTTGGACTTTACCGAGAGCTACGACAAGTGTCTTCAAGAAGGTCGCGTTGTCCCTTTCCTTTTCACGACATTTGTCCAACATCTGAAATATCGTTTATCCACTTAACCATTCAAACTGCATGGTAAAGCTTGAAGGTGTCAATGCAGCTGTCTGGGCCTCGCGGACGAAGAGGAAGACTTAGATCCGGATTAACAAATATACAGTATTGCTGAACTATACGTAATGAAGTCAAGGAATATTATAGTAACACAGTCATGTGTGGACAATGCGTGAAGTTATTAACAAGAATACCCCTACCTGTAGTTCCAGCCCTTCAATACGTACATTGATGTAAAACGAACTTAATGGTGTTCCTGCAGATGTATCACAACTTTAGATATGTGTTGGCCATAACCAAACATATACTGGCATAAGACATTTAACATGTGTGGGATGTAATAATGCATATCTATACTGCGCTCGTTTCCACGCTTGCCGCATGATCAAGGCGCAATGTAAACAATTATGTATGTCAAGTAATAGTTTCAGCTGAAGTTACCATTTTGTGAGAAGAACAGGCTAAATGGGTGACCATTGAAGTTGCACTTTGTTCATGATCTGCTTACGTAACATACAGTGTTATGTTACAGTGGTCAACAAGTTATTCAGCGAACAAGACTCATATCTTAGATGAACATATGTTGAGAATCTGAAATATACCCAGCATAAATAGTAAAACATCTTTGCCAAAGGAAATACAAGTTGATCATTGGCCAGTTGTGGAAAGTTCTCACCATAAACCTACTGTATTCTGTATCTGTACAGTTGTGGAAAGTTCTCACCATAAACCTACTGTATTCTGTATCTGTACACGATGTGGAAAGTACTCCCCATAAACCTACTGTATTCTGTATCTGTACAGTTGTGGAAAGTACTCACCATAAACCTTCTGTATTCTGTATCTGTACAATTGTGGAAAGTACTCACCATAAACCTACTATATTCTGTATCTGTACAGTTGTGGAAAGTACTGACCATAAACCTACTGTATTCTGTATCTGTACACGATGTGGAAAGTACTCCCCATAAAACTACTGTATTCTTTATCTGTACAGTTGTGGAAAGTACTCACCATAAACCTACTGTATTCTGTATCTGTACAAGATGTGGAAAGTACTCACCATAAACCTACTGTATTCTGTATCTGTACAGTTGTGGAAAGTACTCACCATAAAACCACTGTATTCTGTATCTGTACAAGATGTGTAGTCACAGATGCGTTTTATTTCATCATCACTTAAACCAAGTTCTTTAAATAACGTAATGTCAGGTGTCATATCCTTAACAACACTGACAAAGAAGCTGTTTAGAACATGCCTTCTGTTTTCTGCAAATACAAAAATGTATATCGGCAGAGGTATAACCTTATAGTTACTTGTGCATAGTGCACCACACATTGTAAAATACATTCTGGACATATTTGAATTTTATATTATTTTAACTTCTATATAGTATTAGCTGCGCAGAAGAACCCGGAGAACCCAAACACAGATATTATGTAGAATTCTTCTGGAAAGGAAATAGTCAACTCTCTGCCAGGAATATTTCCGCAGAGTTTAAGACGAATGCATTTCAAACACATGTGTACTTTTACTTAAAGGGTCGTCGTTTTCATTGCATAGCACCGGTGTTATATTGGCTCGTATCTGTATTATTGTTGAATGTAACGACCAACACCAAGAAACAAACATTACACAGACAAAATTAGTATCACAGCAGTGGAACACAAGTTTACATACTGTCAGTACTTTGATAGTACATAATATAGCGTAGCAATGGTTTTGATATATAATATCCAGATGCATATTTGAAATTGTAATTAGTACGCAGCCTTGTTTCTTAGTTTGCCACAATAAATGCGTATATATATATATATATATATATATATATATATATATATATATATATATATATATTAATATATATATAAATTTATATAACACTTCTTCGATACAAAGTTCTATGTGATTCAGCCAGTCATGTTGCTAACGATATTGAGTATTTCCACAGTGAAAGTTTGGATATTCACTTCTCAATATTAGTTTATTAGTTTTGAATTGCAAAGCAGTAAAACATATCCCTTGTATTGGTTTATAATTTTTGAAATGTCAAACATATTGTATGGGGCTATATCTAACAACAGTACATAATAGTTTCTGAACATAAAAGACTAGAACATAAATTCCAGTCCAAAATTCTACTTCCATTAATGCCAAAGTGAGGCCTAAAGGTAAGTTAACCGCGATGTCTATTACATCTATATAATTACACGAATTTCCACCTACACGCTTCAACGTCATCATTAGGGAGAGATTACAGTTACAGATCTTGTGTATAAAGATACGAAGTGTAGCCGTGTACACACACACTCCTACTCGTTTCAACTTCATCTTCTGAGTGAGGAACACCAGGGAGAGACTGTAGTTACATAACTGTGTTGTGTTCGTATTGTGTCATTATTTGTGTCATGGATCTATTACATATCTTACTGTTCATAGGCCAAGGAGCTTCAACTCTGGGAGACGCCTCAATCTCAGCTATCAGCGGAAGAGGCAGCTGCGTGACGAGGCGAGACTTGTGATCCCCAGCTGTATAAATGTTAATGCATCCACAAAGAGATGCATCCTTGCATTGTGATACTTCAACAAGGAGGCTGCGGTAGTTCGCTTCTCTTGGCGTCCGTTCTAGATGGTCATTATATTCTCCAAGAAACTCATACTTGCCTTCTACTTGAAAACGATAGCTTTGCCTCTCTAATGAAGCAAACTTCCCGCTCACAGCTAGAGTTACGAATGATTTTTGTTTCCAATCGTCGAGACAAAGATAGATTTCATTTGGTTCCAGGCATCCAACGATAACTTCGTACCGATTAACTCCAATAACCTTCCCAACAACAAAGAAGGTCACAAAACAGTCAGTCATACTTGTTGTCATGGCACCGCCGCCCTTTGGTCGCCTTTACTTGTGTATGGCTGAAAGATCATATAAGGATGTATCATGTAAGGATGTATCATGTAAGGATGTATCATGTAAGGATGTATCATGTAAGGATGTATCATGTAAGGATGTATCATATAAGGATGTATCATGTAAGGATTATCATATAAGGATGTATCATATAAGGATGTATCATGTAAGGATGTATCATATAAGGATGTATCATGTAAGGATGTATCATGTAAGGATGTATCATATAAGGATATATCATATAAGGATGTATCATGTAAGGATGTATCATGTAAGGATGTATCATGTAAGGATGTATCATGTAAGGATGTATCATATAAGGATGTATCATGTAAGGATGTATCATGTAAGGATGTATCATATAAGGATGTATCATGTAAGGATGTATCATGTAAGGATGTATCATGTAAGGATGTATCATGTAAGGATGTATCATGTAAGGATGTATCATATAAGGATGTATCATGTAAGGATGTATCATGTAAGGATGTATCATGTAAGGATGTATCATGTAAGGATGTATCATTTAAGGATGTATCACGTAAGGATGTATCACGTAAGGATGTATCAGGTAAGGATGTATCATGTAAGGATGTATCATGTAAGGATGTATCATGTAAGGATGTATCATGTAAGGATGTATCATCTAAGGATGTATCATGTAAGGACAGATCATATAAGGATGTATCATGTAAGGATGTATCATGTAAGGATGTATCATATAAGGATGTATCATGTAAGGATGTATCATGTAAGGATGTATCATGTAAGGATGTATCATGTAAGGATGTATCATATAAGGATGTATCATATAAGGATGTATCATGTAAGGATGTATCATGTAAGGATGTATCATTCCTTTGTCCCTGAGTTCATGTTGACATTAATACAAACACACAATTCGAATTACACACATATCGAATTTCGTTTCATTTTCAATACAAATGACAATAGTGGACCTAAATAAGATTGAGATTCGTCAATCGAGATTTAAGATTCATTGGTCCAGTGTGTTCTAAGAGGATCTGTTCAGTTAGTTCTCCAGACGCCACACATATATACTCCCCATCAAAAGTTTACACTCGCTAGTGTAAATGTAGCCACTTACTTCAGGCAACTGTTATGAACTAGATTTTGTAAAATAATCCTTTCAGTTTAAAGGTAGTTTACACATGAACTGATGTATTGTAAAACAAATTTGTGACGATGAAAAGTTTATTGTCATGTGTTCAATAAATGATGAAACTGTTGGAAATGGCGATTTTTTTAATCCAAACTTTACACCAAAACGCAGCTGTTCACATGCACGATATTTGCACATGCTTTTCAGCAATTTGATGCATGATCCTCGTGCAATTAATCTGCATAAGGTTTGCAGATGTTTCCCCCAAGTTAGTGGAGAAATTCATCTTCGTTGTAACCATATGTATATACATAACTTATAGTGATTGATTTAAGCGAGTCTAAACTTTTGATGGGTGGTATACTACATGACGTTAACTCATTTGAGATACAGATCCATTCTTTTTACTTGTAACTAAATTTTGCAAAATATAACACACCAACTCACGACGAAAGAGAAGACATCAGACATTAAGCATTGGCTCAGGAACCATCGTACACTTTTGATAAGAACTGCATACAAGTAAGCTGCTCAGTTTCTGCAAAACCTACCTGGTAGAATGACTGCCAAACACTGTGGTACAAAATGATCGGCAATGTGACGTAAACAGACAATGAGACGACGCTCCTCTTATCAAATGCAGTATCAGAATTTGTCATACGTTTTAATCAGGCATTTACCATTGGCACTAGCTCAGGATCCATGGTACTACATCGTACACCTTTGAAAAGAACTGCATAATGCAAAGCTACAAGTAAGCTGCTCAATTTCTGAAAATCCTACCTGTAGAATGGCTGCTAATTCACTGTGGTACACCATGTATTCGACAATGTCGCGTAAACAAACAATGAGACGACACTCCTCTGATCGAATACAGGATCACATTTTGTAATATGGGTTAATGCATCAAGGTGTCATACTTCACAACTATATAATTTAGGTTGTTGAAGTAATATATATCTCAGCATGGGGTATACGCGTTATGTGAGAGGGTAGAAGGTTATCTCTGCAGACAAGGAAGTTTTACATAAAGACTATTTGACCGAAGCATTGTCAGCCAACTTCTTTTAACATCAGATCATAAGCTGTGTTTGGTAGTGCGTAAGCCAGTGGAGACAGACAGTTAACTTACTAACAGCATCAAAGTGGATTCTGGCTAGAACTGCCTCCCATTTACTTATGTGTTTTATTGATGAGTTGACTAAATGGATCGATCGATGCTCATGCTGTTGATCACTGGATTGTCTGGTCCAGACTCTATTATTTACAGATAGATGAAATATTTCTAACTGCGGCTTTAGACAGCAACCAACCAACCAACTAAATGAGTGAGTGGGTGAGTTTAGTTTTACGCCGCACTCAGCATTATTCCACCTATTTGACGGCAGTCTGGACCAGACAATCAAGTCATGAACAGCATGAGCATCGAGCTACACAGTTGGGATACGATGACATGTGACAACCAAGTCAGCGAGCCAATTATCCATTTCTGGAACCTCTTCGATCTGAAAATATGATTTGGGAGCAGTGTCATTTTTGCTAAATTTGACGATAATTTGTGGCGATGAATAGAAATTACATACAGGATACAGGAGTCTAGATGAATGACAACAGGTGGCTTTGTCCATTAGTCGTAAGGTTACTGCTTCGTCTGTCTTGCGGGAGTACAGATTAGATACCATAAGTTCATCCTACATCAAGTGAGTGAGTGAGTGAGTGAGTTAAGTTTTATGCTGTGATCAGCAATATTCCAGCTATTTGGCGGCGGTCTGTAAATAATCGAGTCTGGACCAGACAATCCAGGGATCAACAGCATGAGCATCAATCTACGCAACTGGGATGCGATGTCATGTGTCAACCAAGTCAGCGAGCCTGACCACCCGATCCCGTTAGTCGCCTCTTACGACAAGCATGGGTTGCACGAGATCAATTCTAACCCGGATCTTCACGCGTACCAACTAAATGGATCGAGTAGATTGACATGGTGGTTAGGTTGTTTGCGTGCCATTGAAGCCAGAATACGTAGGTGGAAACTCATAATATCAATCACTGGTATGGATAATGCAGAATCAGCTTTGTAAAGGTGGTTGATAGAACACACGTAAGTAGTGAGCGAGAGGTTTTATGCTTTTAGCAATGCTCCAGAACAGCGCGACCTCAGAAATGGGTTTCACTTATTGTACCAATGTGGGGAATCGAACCCGGGTCTTCAGTGCGACGAGATAACGCTTTAACCACATGGCTACCCCACCGCTCCACACACATAAAAACTGACTTTGTAATCTTGAGTTTGTAGTGCATCCGTCTTACACCAGTATTATTTGTTATGTGACATCAAGTCATTTCCCAAATGAATGTATAGTTTAAATGAACTAAAAACGAGTTGAAGAAGTTTCAGTCTCTTTTAATAACTGACAAGAACCTTGAAACCCAGATCAAGTAAACAGTTTAATCATACTTCTGGTACTTCCTGTATTTTGCGCTGCGTATTTATCAAGGGAAGTCACTTACTAAAATATCAATAGTCACACATACTATCGATGTATCAAAAGTTTTTCGTTTCTACCGTCGATTAATTGCTATCGGAGATTCAACAATTGCAATCCATCAATAGTTCGATGAATCTTTACATCACTACACACTCACAGGCCCTCGTGTCTTTTCGAGGATTAAAGATGTTAAGAAAAATGTAAAAATAATAGAGATGATCCCCCGTCTCGAAATGCTACACAGTACAATCCTAGTACTATATGATATGTATTGTACTGTGTAGCATCTCTCTGTGTCTGTCTGTCTGTCTGTGTGTGTTGGGTTGAAATATTTCTACATGTCCACCATTTCATGAACAAAAATATAGTGTTGTTTTGTCTAGACAAGAATACGCTTGCTCTATTCATCATACATTACATTTCTACAATTTAATTTGTAACAAAATGAAAAATATTGTTTTGTTTCTAACATTAGAATATACTAATTATAAACATAAACGAAAAATTGCAAGAAAAATCCAAATTATTGTAAAAGCTTGTTATCGTTTCTCTGCCTTTGATATATCGTTAACATATTTTGTCAATCATATATCGCCTTGTCAGCGCCGACATATGTAAAGTGAGGGATTATGTTTTAGCAACATTCCATCAATATCACGGCGGTAGGCTACAACAACATTGTGATGTAAATCATCATGTGTGTTTGACGTTTAGGTATAAACTAATATACAAAAACGAACTCTTATACAATTCGATGATGACTTTACATTTGTCTATACAAACCACATTCTTACAAAATGCTCCCCTAGGCATGTTATCAACGCTGGTACACTGTTAATGTTTGTTACGATACATGTTAAGTAACATTTACGAAACAAAAATACAGTACCATCTAGTAAAGCCAGCTTTTAATGTTTAAATTATAACAATTACCATACAATATCAACATACCTTAAATACTGTCCATATATATATCATCAAAATCCGAACATGTATAAATTTACTGTTTTGTAACCTAACACTCGGATATCATGGAATCGTGTATATATGTCTTTGATTCTATGAACGGAAAATGTACTAGATTTAAAAGTCTTAAGTAAACTTTTATGGCATGCATATAAATTAATAGAGAGTACATGTAAAACCTGAGATGACAGATAACACACATACAAAATTTGTTCACCATAATATATATGACATATGTATATCTATAATGTATATCTATAATTGTATATAAAACTATATATTTTGCATTGTATATAAGCCTGAGGCCTTCATACTGGAAACAAACACTTGACTTCACTTGGCCTTCTGAAATGAAGCATATTTTTATCAAAAGCCTATTCACATGAATCCATTTACATCAAAAGCCAATTAACATGAATCCTCTCACGTCGAAAATCGTATAATTAGTTTTTAGGCTGATTACATCCCTTCTAATCGAGAGTACTGAAAATTTAAAGTTTCGAATATCTGAAACGTAGTCAGTGTCTCGTTAAGCAGGGTAGCTTTGTCTAAAATATGCTTCCGTTATCCTGGTAGTATCAGGGTACCCGGTAGGATGAGCTGGGACTATCCACTTAGCGTCTTATGTGCGACTTGTCACGTATACGCCCCAGCGAGTCGGGAATGAAAATTAAGGGTAGAGTGAGTGAGTGAACGGAAAATGTTTACCTTTCAATAATATAATGAATTAGTCTTTCTCTCCATCTCCTCCCTCCCCTTCTCCCACTCAAATTATCTCCACTCATTTACCATACTGAATTTCTGTAATTACTGTATTGTAGAATGTTGACAGTGATTTAATCCGAGGCAACAGAAAACTGCACTTTTGTTTGTCGAATGTATCATATGTTATGTCCCCGTTAACCGTATGTCAACATCGATATTCAGTGTGTATTTGGTTTCGTAAAGTTGAAGCTTCTGTACTTGTGACGCTCAATGCCATTTGGCGTTCAAATTGACCAGTAAAATGTCAAGCTTCTTTAAAGCGACGGGCAATAGAGCGAACCTTTCGAACAAATTCTTGATCTCCAGATGGGCACGAGTCAAGCCTGAAACATATAATGGTTTTGAAAATGTATAGTGAACGACGTGTCAATAGAAAACATCAATATATCAATATACTAGTATCAAGCAAGCCACAAAACCAGTTCTATAATAAAAAATAATTAGGCGACAAATCTCTAGCTGTAAAACATCTTCAGAAATCTCTGCCTTATACAGCCTTAAATTTAATGTTCAAACATCAGTTTCATTGGTATACTGGTCTTCGTTAGAAACAAACAAGACGCAAGTCGTTAACAAGCAGATCAAACAAGAAGACAAAGTCACCAATATCCCCCGCAGCGCGGCGGCGGCGGCGGCGGCGGCGGCGGCGGCGCGCGGCGCGGCGCGGCGGCGGCGGCGGCGGCGGCGGCGCGGCGGCGGCGGCGGCGGCGGCGGCGGCGGCGGCGGCGGCGGCGGCGGCGGCGGCGCGCGGCGGCGGCGGCGGCGGCGGCGGCGGCGGCGGCGGCGGCGGGCGGCGGCGCGGCGGCGGCGGCGGCGGCGGCGGCGGCGGCGGCGGCGGCGGCGGCGGCGGCGGCGGCGGCGGCGGCGGCGGCGGCGCGCGGCGGCGCGGCGGCGGCGGCGGCGGCGGCGGCGGCGGCGGCGGCGGCGCGCGGCGGCGGCGGCGGCGGCGGCGGCGGCGGCGGCGGCGGCGGCGGGCGGCGGCGGCGGCGGCGGCGCGGCGCGGCGGCGGCGGCGGCGGCGGCGGCGGCGGCGGCGGCGGCGGCGGCGGCGGCGGCGGTTATGCTGATATATACATTTGGTAATGGAACCCAGCAGTGAAAAGTATGTACCCACCTTTTTGATAGCAATAAGTGAAGGATAAGGAATACAATTTATGTTGGACATTTGTATCTCTTCGGCTACTTTAAAGATTGTATTTTCAGATGTTGGATAAGTGCCGGGAGAAGCGAGGCGACAATGCCGCATTTCTGCACATGCTACTTTTAGCCCTGGAAGATTTCCAGCAGAACGAGACCAAAGAATGGGTCCTTCAGCGCATCAACCGATGGTAATTGTGGAACTTCACAGCAGGTGTCATCCACATAGGACTTTTTCTCGCTTCGCTCTGCTATATTATCTCCCGCATCGCGTTTTTCTTTTCTTTTGTATGTGCGTGTGCGTGCGTGCGTGCGTGTGTGTGTTAAAATGCGCTCCATCCGTCCGTCCGTGGTAGTTTTGGATTTTTGTATAAAATATTTTTTGCGTTTCCATTGCAACAAGTTTGACTTTGAATGAAATTGGTGGTAGTGTTCTTTTCCGAAGCAGAACTGTAAGTCCGCTCAACATTTCTT